ATGTGGCATTAATATTCAGTGGCATTAAATACATTCAAATTATTATGTGACCATCACTAGAGCATTTTCTTCCTCCCAAACTGAAACTCTGTACCCATTAAACATAGTTCTCCATTCCTCAGTCCCCAAAGTCTCTGACAACCACCAATCTACTTTCTGTCCCTAAGAATTTGCCTACTCGAAGTACCTCATGTAATGGGAATCATACAATTTTTGTCCTTTTATGTCTGCATTATTTTGCTTAACATAATATCTTAAATTCATGTTCATCCATATTGCAGCCTGTGCCAGAATTTAATTTTTTTTCAGGCTGAACAATATCCCACTGTATGTATAAATCACCTTTTGTTTGTCCATTCATCCATCAATGGTCATTTGGGTTGTTTCCATATTATGACTATTGCGAATAATGCTGCCATGAACACTGGTGTTCAAATATCTGTTCAAGTTCCTGCTTTAAATTATTTTGAGTATATATATATATATATGAATATATATATTCAAAGGAGGAGTTGCTGGAACAATCACATGCCAATTCTATGTCTAATTACTTGAGGAACTGGCATACTATTTTCCATAGCAGCTGTAATATTTTACGTTCCCAAAATGCAATTCACAAAATTTTCAATTTCTTCACATCTCACTGTATTAATCTGTTATGGATGCCATAACAAAATACCAAAGGCTGGGTGAATTAAACATTAGAAATTTACTTTCCTGTATTCTGAAACTTGGAAGTTGAGATCTTACAGAGCATGGCTGGTTTCTGGTAAAGGCTCTCTTCCTGCATTGTAAACAGCCACCTTCTCACGCTCTCCTATCACGGTCTTTTCCCAGTGTATAAATGGAGAGGGAGGGAGGGATGGGAAGAGAGAGAGAGAGAGAATGAAATCTCTCTAGTGTATTTTCTTGTAAGGGCACTAATTCTTTTAGAACAGCGCCAACTCCTATGACTTCATTTAGTTATTTCCTTAGAGGCCCCATCTTCAAATATAGCCACACTGGGTACTAGTGCCTTTTTCTTTCAACTTGAAGGACTCCCTTCATTATTTCTTATGGGGTAGGTCTAGTGGTAATAAACTCCCTCAGATATTGTCTGCTGCGAATATCTTAACTATTCCCTTATTTTGTTGTTGTTATTGTTGTTGTTGTTGTTGTTGTTGCCGTTGTTGGGGAGTAGGGAAGAGGGAAGGAGGAGGTGGTAGCTAGCTTTCCAGGAAAATGGAACAGCCTATATTTGCTGACATGAAAGCTCATTAAGATATGTGGCAGAGGCTGGCCTATTAGCTCAGTTGGTTAGAGCATGGTGCTGATAACACAAAGATCCAGGGTTCAATCCCTGTACCAGCTAGCTGCCAAAAAAAAAAAGATATATGATAGAGAGTGGTGAAATGAGGTTGGAGAGGTAATTTGGACTCAATCATGGAGGGTCATGGATGTCAAAGCAGAAGTGTGAACTTTATCTTTTGAGTAATGGAGAACTGTCAAAGGTTTTTTAGTAAGGGAGTGGCATTACTTTTAGAAAGGAAACTGGTAACCACTTGGAGGATGGCTTGAAATAGGGAAGGACTGATGAAAAGAAGGCCAAACAGTAGGCTGTTGAATAGTTTTGGGGAGAGTAATGTAGGATTAAATAATGTTACTGACTGTTGGGGATGGGGCAGAGGGGCTAGATTCAGTATAGTTAAAAACACACACACTTTTTCTAAACATACCTCTTTTTTGAGTGCCTGCTTTGTGCATAGCACTAAACTTATGAAAGATATAAAGAATGTATAAGGCACTCATCTTTGTGTCTCATTCATTCTTTGGGACTTGGTGAATGAGGGAAGACTCAGAGTTGACCCTAAAGCTCGTTTTTTTTTATTTTTTTAAATTTATTTATTACAAATATTCATGAGATACAAAGCTGATTGTCCCCCCACCTGTCCATGATGTGGGGGCCAGATTCATACTGGGGGCATATCCATTACCATAAATTACTTTTGTACCTTTTGTTCCCTCCCAATTATCCCCCAACTGCTCTCCCCTTCCCCCTCTCACCTCAACTCCAATTTGTAGCCCTAGGAATGTTCCCTCCCTCTGTTGGATCATGGGACTACTGTGGTCTTTCTTTCCTGCCTTCCTTTCTCTCTTAGCTCCCACATATGAGTGAGCACATGCGGTATTTATCCCTCTGTGCTTTGCTTGTTTCACTCAACATAAGTTTCTCCAGGTTCATCCATGTTGTTGCAAATGGGAGTATTTCGTTCTTATTTATGGCAGAGTAGTATTCCATTGTGTATACATACCACAGTTTCCTTATCCAATCATCTATTGATGGACATTTAGATTGGGTCCATATCTTGGCTATTGTAAACAGAGCTGCAATAAACATGGGAGTGGAGGTATCTCTTTGACATAACAATTTCCATTCCTCTGGATATATACCCAGAAGAGAGATGGTTGGATCATATGGAAGATCTATCTGTAGTTGTTTGAGAAACCTCCAAATTGTTTTCCAAAGTGGTTGTACTAATTTACAGGCCCATCAACAGTGTGGTAGTGTTCCTTTCTCTCCACACCCTCACCAGCATTTGTTATTCACCGTCTTTTTTTTTTTCGTGACCGGCAACGGATCGCAACCCTCAGTGTCGCGCCAGTACCGGACTGGGACCAGCAACGGGATCGCAACCCTCGGTGTTGCGCCCGCACCTCGCTCAGCCAGTGAGCGGCCAGTCTGTACATGGGATCGGAACCCTCAGCGGGAGCGCCGCGGCACTCACAAGCGGCGCACTGTAGCAGTGCGCCACCAGGCCGGCCCTTCACCGTCTTTTTGATTATAGCCAGTTTAACTGGAGTGAAGTGATATCTCAATGTGCTTTTAATTTGCCTTTCCCTGATGACTAGTGATATTGAGCATTTTTTCATGTATCTGCTGGCCATTTATATGTCTTCCTTTGAAAAATGTCAATTCAGCTCCTTTGCCCATTTTTTAATTGGGTCATTTATTTTTTTAATGTATAATTGCTTGAGTTCTATGTATATTCTGGATATTAGTCCCTTGTCAGATGCATAGTTGGTAAAAATTTTCTCACACTCTGTAGGTTGTCTTTTCACTCTGTTGATTGTTTCTTTTGCTGTGCAGAAACTTTTTAGTTTGATATAGTCCCATTTGTTTTTCTTTTGCTGCTTGTGCTTTTGGACTCATGTTCATAAAGCATGTGCCCAGACCTAACTGCTGAAATGTTTCACCTATATTTTTCCTTAGTAATTTTACAGTTTTGGGTCTTATACCTAGGTCTTTAATCCATTTTGAGTTGATTTTAGTGTATGGTGAGAGATGCATATCTAGCTTCATTCTTCTGCATATGGATATCCAATTTTCCCAGCACCACTTGTTGAAGAGGCAATCTTTTCCCCAATGTAGATTTTTGTTACCTTTGTCTAATATCAGATGGCTATAAGCCTGAGGAGTGATTTCTGGGTTCTCAATTCTACTCCACTGGTCTGATTTTCTATTTTTATACCAGTACCATGCTGTTTTGGTTAAAACAGCTTTGTAGTCTAATTTGAAGTCAGGCAGAGTTATGACTCCAGCTTTTTTTTTTTTTTTTTTTTTTGTTGCTCAGGATTGCTTTGGTTATTTGGGGTCTTTTGTTTTTCCATATGAATAGTAAAATTGTTTTTTCCATTTCTGTGAAGAATGTCATTGGTATTTTGATGGTGATTGCATTGAATCTGTACATCACATTGGGTACTATAGACATGTTCACAATGTTAGTTCTTCCATTCCAAGAGCATGGAATATCTTTCGATCTTTTCGTGTCTTCTTTAATTTCTTTCTGAAGTGGTTTGTAATTCTCATTGTAGGGGTCTTTCATCTACTTGGTTAAATTGATCCCTAGGTATCATATTTTTTTGGTGACAATTGTAAATGAGCTTACTTTCTTTATTTCTTTTTATAATAATTCATTATTTGAGTATACAAATGCTACTAATTTGGGGCATTTATTTTGTA